TGGACAGCCTCTTCCACCTCCGTCTGCAGCTGGGAGATGTCACATTCCATCTTCTTCTTCTGGTTGATGAGGCTGGTGTTCTGGGAAGAGAGGACCATGGGGGTGACACAGGGGCCATGTCGTGTGGTGGTGGGGTGGTTTGGTGATTGGTTTGTCACTGGGAGAGGACACTGGCCCCGGTTTGGCAGCTCTTGGAGGAGTGTTATGTCCAGCAGGTTTCTCAGGGGCTTGGCAAAGGGGTTGATGAAGGACCCCATGGCTGTGCCATTCTCCAAGGGGATGTTCTAGGTGATACAAGGGTGTGGTCTTCACCAGATTGTCCTCACCTGGGAGTGGAGGAGCTGCACCCTCTCACTGGCCTCGATCACCTCCTGCTCGGCCAACTTGCGCGCCCTCTCCGTCTGCTCCACCACTGCCCGCAACTCCTCCAGCTCCGCCTGCAGCAGGTTGTTCCTCCTCTCCACAATAGCAATATTCTCCTTCAGGTCCTCGTTGGCCGTCACTGCATCGTCCAGCTGCAGTTGGGTATCCTGGTGGGACAAACGGGCTGGACTTCTGCCAGCAGCTCCTCTCAGGACTGGAAGGACATCCTGAGAGGTGGCTGAGCCTCACCTTGAGGTGGCTCTGGGCTCCCTTCAGGTGGGACTGGGACTCAGCTGCCAGGCGGTTAGCATGGCCTAGCTGGATCTCCATCTCATTGAGGTCGCCCTCCATCTTCTTCTTCAGCCTCAGGGCCTCATTGCGGCTGCGGGTTTCGGCATCCAGCGAGGCCTGGAGTGAGTCCACCACCCGCAGGTGGTTGCGCTTGGCCTGCTCCATCTCCTCGGCCTTCTCAGCCAGCTTGCGCTCGTAGTCCACCTTCACCTGGTTGAACTCCAGCTGGGCCCTCAAAATCTTCCCTTCCTCGTGCTCCAGAGAGGCCTCGGGGGAGACAGAGAGGACATTGAGGCCCCCAGAGGGGACCGGGAGAACGTGGGGAAACATGGGGATGTGGGTTGGCTCACCTCGGCCTCCTCCAGTGCAGCTTGGAGCTCCAGCTTCTCGGCATCCAGCTGCTTCCGCACCTTCTCCTGCTCATGGATGGTCTTGTGGCTGGCACCCAGCTGCTCCGTGAGGTCCGAGATCTCCTCTGCGCGGGGGAGACCCCTTCAGTCCAGGCAGGGGGCGGCGGAGAGTGATGGGGTGGGCAGGGGGCCACTGCAGGCTTACCTTGGAGGTTCTTGTTCTCCCTCTTTAAGGTCTCCAGGTGCTCCAGTGACTCCTCGTAGGCGTTCTTCAGCTTGAAGAGCTCGGTGCTGAGGGACCTGGCCTCCTTCTGTGACGCCTCCAGCTCTGTCTGTGACTCCTCGAACTTCTGCTTCCACTCGGCCAGGACCTACGGGGACACCACCAGGACTCTGGTCACCTGCTGCTGCCCCCATGAAGAACCTCCTCCTCCTCTACCTCCTCCTCTTCCTTCTCCTTCTCCTCCTCCTCTCCCCAAGGATCTCCTGGTGGGGACTCAAAACTCTGCCGAAACACGGCCCTGGACACTTGTCCACCTTTCTTCTGGCTTTCTTCTCCTGCCCGTCTTTGGGAGGTACCATTGGTGGGCCCCACATCTCTCCACCCCCTTCTCCTCTTACCCTTCTTTGATGCCACCAACCTTGTCGAAGTTCCGCTGCTTCTTGTCCAGGGCAGCGGCCGCCGCATTCGACCGCTCCAGGTCGGCCATGAGGTCCTCAATCTCGTTCTGCAGCCGGTGCTTGGTCTTCTCCAGGGAGGAGCACTTGGCGTTGACAGCCTCTACCGCCTCCTCCGCCTCCTGCAGCCTCTGGGCCAACTTCTTCCTGCCAGACGTGGGGGACAAACCCACGTGTGACCCATCAGCCCGTGGAGACCCCACCAATTGGTCACCCCCGAGATGAAGACATTTGCAAGGTGACAGTGGGAGGGCTCTTGAGGGTCGCGGGTGGTCTGGGTTACTCCACACAGGTTCTAAGTCCTCAAATCAGGCTCCAGATCTACTTGAAGAAGCCCCACGTCCCAGGGAGGTGGGAGAGGTGGGGACTGGCAGGACTGAGCAGGTGCCACCACCTGTGGGAGAACCTCCGGGGCTGCAGGGAGGGGACTTACTTGGCTTCCTCCAGCTCCTCGGTGCGCTGGATGGCGTCCGTCTCGTACTTGGTCCTCCACTGGGCCACCTCGGAATTGGCCTTGGAGAGGGAGCGCTGGAGCTCTGCCTTGGCCTCCGTCTCCTCCTCGTACTGCTCCCGCAGCAGGTCGCAGTCGTGCCGGGCCGACTGGAGGGCGTGGGCCAGCGCGTTCTTGGCCTGGGGGGGCAGGAGAAGGGGGGACCATTGGCTCCACGGCACCCGCAACTGTCCTGGGCTTCTCCAGCTGGGTAAGTGATGGTCTTCCTCACCCCAACCCAACCAGACCTTCTGGAGACCCGAACCCAATGTTCCCCAGCCCAACCCAACCTTGTTTAGACCTTCTGGAGACCGTTTAAACCTCCTTCAGACAAACCCAACCTTCCTTAGACCTTCTGGAGACCAACCCAACCTCCTCTGGACCAACCCAACCTTCCTTAGACCTTATGGAGACCATCCCCACAGACCTCACCTTCATCTCCTCTTCCAGCTGCCTCTTGAGGTCCTCCATCTGCTGGGTGTAGGACTGCTTGCCCCTGGTGAGCTGGGAGATGAGGGCCTCCTTCTCCTCCAGCTGCCGGGACAGCTCTCCTGCAAGGGCAGGGGGGAGCTTTAGAGGTGGAGATGTGGGGCAGGGAGGTGGAGAGGTAGGGAATGGGGGTGGAGATGTGGGGTGGTGGGTGCCACAGGTCAGGACTCCCACCGTTCTCGGTCTGGAGCTTGGCCCGCTTGGCGGTGGTGTCATTGAGGACACGTTGGGTCTCCTCCAGCTTGGCCCGGTGCTCGGCCGCCTGGTCCTCCATGGCGCGGGACACCTTCTCCATGGCCACCTGGGAGGAGCGTGGCACACAGGGGAGGGTTGTGGCGGGGGGGGGCCAGCCAGTGGCCACAGTGTGGACGAGAGGTCCACCTGGGCCTCCTCCTACCTTGGCCTTGATCAGCTGCTCCACGTTGGAGCTGACATCGTCCAGCTCCAGCTTGAGCTCGCTCTTCTCCTTCTCCAGCTTCTGCTTGACGCGCTGCAGGTTGTCGATCTGCTCACTGAGCTCGGCCACGCTGTCGGCGTGCTTCTTGCGCAGCGCGGCAGCTGTGGCTTCATGCTGCAGCGTGGCCTCCTCCAGGTCCCGCCGCATCTTCTGGAACTCCGCCTCCCGCTTCTTGTTGAGCTCCAGCTGCACCGAGGTGGCGCCGCCTGCCTCCTCCAGCCGCTCGCTGATCTCCTCCAGCTCCCGCGACAGCTCCGAGCGCAGCTTCTCCACCTTGGCCCTGCCCGTCCGCTCTGCCTCCAGCTCCTCCTCCAGCTCCTCAATCCGTGCCTGCGCCCAGGTACAAGGACGGGGACAGGGACACCCTCAGCAACCTTGACTCAGCCCAACTGGGCCACTGAACTCAACCCACCCAGCTGGAGACTCTTCAGCTCAAGTCAAGTCAACCCATCCAGTTGGAGACTCTTCAACTAAACCAACTGGAGACACTTCAACTCAGCTCAACCCAACCCAACTCATTGGAGACACTTCAGCTCAACCCAACCCAACCTGCTGGAGACTCTTCGACTCAAGTCGACTCAACACAATCAACTGGAGACTCTTAATCTCAACCCAACCGGCTGGAGACTCTTCAGCTCCACTCAAGACAACCCAACTCACTGGAGACTCTCTAACCCAACCCAACCAGCTGGACGTTCTCCAGCTCAACCCACGTAGGTGGAGCGTCCACCCCTCACCTGCAGCTCCTTCAGCTTCTTCTGGAGCTGCAGGGCCAGTGCCTGCTCGTCCTCCATCTTGCTGTTCTGCTGGTGGATCTCAAAATCTTTCCTGCAGAAGACGGTGGCCCTGCACCTCCTGCCCAGGTGGGACCAGGGAGGGAGATCCCGCCTCACTTCTTCAGCTTCTCCTCCAGCTGCTGCTTGTCATTCTCCAGGTCCATGATGTTCTCCTGGGTCAGCTTCAAGTCGCCTTCCAGCTTCCGCTTGGCCCGTTCGAGGTCCATCCGGATCTTCTTCTCCTGCTCCAGGGAGCCTTCAAGCTGTGTGCAAACACAGAAACAGGGAGAAACCTCACGTTTTCATTGTCTCTGCCCCAGGAAGATCCTCAGCAGTGGCCATGGTGGCCTCAGCCCACACTCACGTCATCTGCCTGCTGTTCCAGCTTGACTTTGGCCTTGGTCAAGCTGTTGACCTTGTCTTCCTCTGCCTGCAGGTCATCCAGCGCTTGCTGGTGAGCTTCCTGCAGGGCCTTCTTCTCCTTTGTCAGCTTGGCGATGGTCTCGTCCAGCCCGGCCATCTCCTCTGTCAGATTCTTGACCTGCAGGAGGAGAAACGTCAGGCCTGAAGGCCCAGAGGTCGGGCAGAGCTGGGGGAGGTTCTGGTGGCCTTGGCCGATGAGGCCACTTGGATGCAGAACCCAAAGGGCCTCAGGGTTGTCTTGATGTAGCCAAACCCAAGTGGCTTCGGGCTCCTCAACCCGACCCAACCAGCCTTGGGGCTTCTCAGCCCATCCCAACCAGCCATGGGGCTCCTCAGAACCTGTTCATGTTGGCTTGAGTTACCTCAGGTCCCCTCCGCTTGGGGGTGGAGGCCTCTCCCCGCCCTCACCTTGTTCTCGGTGGCGTGTTTCTCCTTCTCCACCTTGGCCAGAGTCAGCTCCAGGTCGTCAATGTCCTTCTTCAGTTCCGAGCACTCGTCCTCCAGCTTCCTCTTTTTGGCCGTCAGCTCGGCATTAATCTCCTCCTCATCCTCCAGCCGCTCTGTCAGCTCCTTCACCTTGGCCTCCAACTGGATCTTGTTCTTGATCAGCTGGTCGCAGCGCTCCTCGGCATCTGTGAGGTTGTCCTGCTCCTGTGTTGGGGTGGGCGGTGAAGCAGGGTGGCCGTGGGGTGGGCTAGGGGGTGGTGGTTTTGGGGGATGATCTCACTCACCGCCTGCACTTGGAGCTGAAGGTCGTTCTTCTCCTGAAGCAGCGACACCATCTTCTCCTCCAGCTCCTTCCGCCGCACCTCTGACTTCTCCAGGGCCTCCTTCAGCCGCCCATACTCATCCTTCATGTTCTGTGGGAGGCACCGAGGTCCTCTGTGGGTCTCAACTCTTCCTCCAGCTCCCCACAGATCCCTCCAGCTCTCCACCCACCCACCCTCTCCTGTCCTGCCCCACCTGCATCTCCTTCTCTGTCTCGGCGCTCTTCAGCAAGGGCTTGATCTTGAAGTAGAGCTTCATCCAAGGCCAGTTCTTCACCCCCATGAAGGCCCGGATGTTCCACTGGATCACCAAGAGCGCGTCCCTGCCGGGATGGAGGGGAGGGGGAACACGCAGGTTCCACCATGCCAGGGACCCGCTGGACGTCCCTCCCTGAGCAGAAGACCCTGCCTCACCCCACCCCACTCCCATCTCACCGGCGCTCCAGGATCTTCTTGAACTCGATGCGCATCAGCTGCCCCCGGGCCTGGGCCTGGATGCGGGTGATGATGCGGGAGAGGCGCTCATCCCGCATCTCCTCCAGCAACCCCAGCAGCCCCGCCTTGAAGAAGACCTGGGGGAGGAAGGAGACGGGTGAGGAGGAGGAGGAGGAGGCAGGTGGGGGAGAAGACAGGTGGGTTGGGGAGGGTCAATGGAGGGATGGACGGAGTGATGGGCCGGGGAAGGATGGGCAGGGCTGTAGGTGGGCAGGTGGATACCAGGGTGGTGGGACCATGAGGTCAACGTGACCTCATGGGTGGTGGGATCATGTGAGAGGAAATGACCTCACCATGCTGTGCCTGAACTTTTTGTGGTGGATGGGCAGATGGGTTGGTGGGTGGGTGGAGGGATGGATGGAGCTCTAATTGGGCAGGTGGACATGTGGATGGTTACACCATGAGGTCCACAAGACCTCATGGGTGGGTGGTGGAGACCACGTGCCTCACCTTGTTGTGCCCAAACTTCTGGTGGTGGGTGGGCAGATGGGTTGGTGGGTGGATGGAGGGATGGGTGGAGCTCTACATGGGCAGGTTGACATGTGGATGGTGGGACCACAAGGTCTTGTAGACCTCATAGGTGGTGGACCCATGGGACGGGACATGCCCTCACCTTGGTGTGCCCGAACTTATACTGGCTGTGGTCGATGTCGAGGGACCCCAGGAGCTTCTCGGCGCCTTTGCGGCTGTCGATGAACTGCCCCTCGGGGATGGCTGCGGGGTTCAGGATGCGGTACCTGGTGGCCAGAGAGGACGCTCAGCCCCGCCAGGGTTGTCCACCCCTCTGCCCCACCCTACCCTGCCCTGCCCCACCTGGCCCCACCCTCCGTCTCTCCTACCGCTGGCGGAAGTCCCCGTAGAGGATGCGGTTGGGGAAGCCTTTGCGGCAGATGCGGATGCCCTCCAGCACCCCGTTGCAGCGGAGCTGGTGCATCACCAGTGAGTTGTCCATCACACCTGGGGGGGGAGGGAGGTGGAGTGGGGCGGGGTCAGCCCCCAG